CACTGAAATGTTGTGGCCTCTGGCTGATACCACACACACAGAGGGCACATGGCCACAAAGTAACGAAGCTATTTTCTTTCTTCCTGCCTACTTCCCTTCCTTCCTTCCTTTCTTTCAACAAATGGACCGGAAAGCTCACTTCCATCCTTCTCGAAAACACGATCTTTGTTCCTCTTTAACCGAGGGAAAATCCAAGGCACAGATAGTAAAGAAACAGTCCCCAGAGGTGTCTGCTCCGGCGGAATGTGCTCCTCCTGGCCAGACTCCTGAGATTGGGACTGGAAGGGCTCAGGGCCACTGTGGGACAGGCCTGACTCCCCGGGGAGACTCGATTCCAAAGAGCTTTTGGTCCTTTGCAGAGTTCTGATCGACCCTTCAAAGGACACAGCTTTACTAGTAGGAAGGATTTTTCAATAGAATTTGCTGAAGGCAATTGCCAAAGGGGGCCCTGCGAACTGAGTCGTGTTGTCTCCCAAGGGGGAAGTTCAAGGCTCTGTTGTGTTTGAAGAAAGAACACTTCAAAATGGGCCCCCCAACTCTATCACTCACCTTGAACAAGAAGGTGCTTAGAAATGAAAAGTAAGCCAAATTATCTGCCAATCGAGTGGATGCCAACTCGTAGTGACTCTGTAAGATGGAGCGGAACTGCCCCTGCGGGTTTCCAAGACTGTAACTCTGTCCGGGAGCAGGGCACCGCATCTTTCTTCCGAGGAGCAGCTGGTGATCTCGAACTGCTGAACTTGCAGTTCGCAGCCCAACCCAACACCCACTATGCCCACCAGGGCCCCCTCACCAGAGCAGGAAGAGAAAATGGAAACACAGTCAAGGTTCTAGCCGCAAAATTCAACCACTCCTCAGACAATACACGCAGGCGATTTCACCCTGAGGAAAGAGTGACGCGTACTTCCACCATCGGGAGTCTGCGGAACAGACAAGTTCCAGGGATAAGACTCGGTTTGATCCTAATCTGCAACATCTGTAAGACGAACGGGGAAAAAGAATCTCACCCGGTCCTTAAGACATACCTTCCCACCAATCCTGAGCCTTCCGCTTCACCACAACGACCACCACCCACCCCAAGACCCCCAGCACCCTAACGCAAACACACTAAGAAATGAAACCGTGGTCATCCGCTCTCGAAGAGCAATGACGGACGTGTGGGTGCATGCGGCGGTGTGGATGCGCCACGTCAATGCTGGGTGAAAAGTCAGTCACAATAGAGCAAATACGACAGGATTCCAGTTCAATGAAATATCTACAACAGACAAATGCACAGAGACCCAAGAGGTTACCAGGAAATGGGTGTGACGAGGAGTTATTATTGATGGGATGCTGTGTTCCTGTTTGGGTGATTAAAAAAAAGTTTTGGAAATGGATAGTGATAATGTAATTAATGCCACTGATTTGTATACTTATAAACTGTTAGTTCATTTGGCAAACTTCTACAAGATATATTTTACCAGAATGTCAACAACAACAGAAATAAAATGCGTGCTTGGGGAATGTGAAGACATTGTGCTAGTACCCTTGGGAACAGACAGACAGCAACGCAGGGAAAAGAAAAGCACTTCTCTTTCAAACAGACTTTATTTAGAACAAAATTCATTTAAACAAAAGAAATAAGTTTCTGTTTAACCGCTTTTTAAATAGATGGCATTTATGTTTCCCTCATTAAAAAGGGGGGCAGTCCTAGGAATTACAAAAACTAGTCAAGTTCACACTCTTGCATGGCTGGAAAAATACATTTCTCAAATGGTTCTTCTTCCAGCGTTCGGTAGGGGGCACCACAGAGGTATGATTGGAGCTGACTTGGGAATCACAGTCATTTCTGGTAAAAGTTCTTTGATGTGAGGAATGTCCCAGCCTGGTACAGTTGGCAAAAGTTCACGCTGGGGAATTGTGTGTGTGTGTGTGTGTGTGTGTGTGTGTGTGTGTGAGAGAGAGAGAGAGAGAGAGAGAGTTTGCGAGCCTTGGGACGGGGTGGCTGCTGAAAAACAGAGAGCCAGTCTGGCTATTCCTTGACTCCCAAAAGCAGAGAGAACCCTTGATTTATTGCCACAAGTTATCTGAGAGACAAATGGCAGCCTTAGAAAAGGTCTGGGTCTTGTTTGGGGTTTGTAATTTTTATAAAAGGGTGGGGGGGGGGCTAACTGATGAAAACAAGTTATGAAATGACCTATGTTTGTGCAACTGGCTGGATTACGTAAGCCTCGGGCCCTGAAACCGTAAGAGTCCAGCAGGCAGGCATGTATCTGGGAGGTGTTTTCCTGGGCAAGTGAGGGTCCAGAGAACAACAACAACACCCAGCAAGGCGAGGCATGGGGTGCAGTAAGGGTGATTGACAAAGCAAAATCACCAACCTTTGCCATGGCTGGAACAGGAAATACTTTTTATGCTTCCAGTTCCCGTCGGATTCAGGACCAGAAGCTGCTAAAAAGTTTAGCGCACCCAAGGCCCTGGCCATGGGTGAAGAACCAACTTCCAGACGCTAGCAGCAGCGAGGGGGTTGGCAACAGTCTTCTGGGCCTTAAAGGCTCCCGTGAAGAAAGCAGGGGGGAAAGAGTGTGTACTTGCCCAAAGGAAAGCCAAGAACCATCTCTCACAGATTGGTCCATTGAGACGCCACAAAGGAGGAAGGCCCATCCACTGACTGCCCTGAAAGACTCCCAGGAAAGGAAGCTGAGGGGAATAGATCGATTGCAGGTTTTATCTGGTATGTGTAATAAAGGTACCTTGAGCCCCAGATAGGGTGGAGTCACAGCATAGCCTTGTTAAGAACAAAAACCTCTCTGGTCCTGCAACCACCAGGCAGCTCTGCTCCAGGCGGCAGACATGATGGAAAAACCCACCGGCTGCCTCCAAGGAGGGGGCCAGTAGGCCCAGCTGTGGTACTTGTTGAAAGTGGCCAGACCTTGCCAATCCCTCTGGTTTGAAAGGCGCATCCCTCCCACTGCTGGGCCGAGAGGCAGGCGGCTTACAGAGGGGAAGCCCGTGTGCGCTGGCTATTAAGAATTGCAAAATCTTCATGTGTTACAGCATGCTAGGAATTAGCTAACAGCTGCTTTTTTCGCTTCGGTAATGAGTCCCCATTACACTCTGCTGGACCTGGTGGCCTTCCTTCTTCCTAGCACTGGTTTCCTGTCTGACTTGCTTCCAAAACAGGGAATTGCGGCCACTCACATCCTGGGCTCAAAGCCCTAGTGACACAGATTATTCAGTTGGGGCACTGATGTCCGGTCTGACTTCCTATGGAGGCCCCAGGGGCTGAGCGGAGCCAGGCAGCGGAACTGGCATACGCCAGTGCTTGCCACCGACTAAAAAGGCAGCTTCAAACACGAGGGAAGAAATCAAAAGATCCTTCCTTGATGTATAGGAAGAGAGCAGCAGTGGGGGTGGGGGTGGGGTGTTGTCTTGGAGGTGGAGGGAATGGGTCTGACTCCAACCCATTGCTTGAAGAGGTCCGACTCCAATGAAAACCACCGAAGTGACTGGCAAGCAAACATAGTGACTCCCTTTTAGGGTAAGAGTCTCAGCGTGTCACCTCGGTACACATCACTGAGGGGGGCAGTGACTACACAGACCCAGCAGTGACTTTCTACAGGAGGTGATGATGGAAGGACCAGGAGGAGAAGCCCGGCGGCCCCACGGTGAAGCATGCCCACCCAAAGACTGGCGGTTCAAACCCACCGAGGAGCTTCACGGAAGAAAGGCTTGGTGGTCACCCCCCTATCAAGATGACAACCCAGAAACCCCTAAGACGGAGGCCATTCTATTCTGTCATACAGAGTCAGTGTGAGTCAAAAATCTACCCAACACCTAACAATAGCAAGGTGGGGTAAGGGGGCGAAGTGTAGAAGGAAGACACAGAAAAGCTATTTGGGGAACTCACCAAGTTAAGGGAATTAGAATGGTGCAACGTATCTTTTTCCAGGTCCAAAAGAGAGCCATGTTTCCATCTTATTCCCCAACTCTGCCTACCCATCCCTGGAAACCCACCCTAACCCCTCCTGGCTGCCTGGCTCCTAGAGGCCCCAGTCATCTTACCAATGCAAGTCCTGCTTGAAAGCAGTTGGCATGCCGGAGACACCACCCATCCTATGTATCTAGGGTGGGCAGCCCACTGTTGGCTGGCCTTCTGGTTAACCCAGCCCCCTTACAAGCCAGGGATCTGCTACAGAGGAAAGGCAGCTAGCCCCACCAGGTAGGCACCCCACTACCACCCAGGTAGGCACCTTCCTGGTGTTTATAGACACAGAGACAGACCAGGAACAATCCCTCCAGTGTAAACCAGTCTGGCTGCTTTAGAAACAAGTTGTTTTTCCACTTCCAGAACTACCCAGGCGCCGAAGTGATGTCTTTCCCCCCACTTCTGTCTGCTGGGCCTCTTTGCCCTGGGTAACCCCAGACATTCAAGGCACCCCTTACGTGGGCAAGGCACACTCAGATCCCTGACAAGTATGGAGGATTGGCACGCTCAGGTCTCACAGGCAGCCACCGGGGCCAATCAAGGCTGGCCTCCTCCTTTATCGCCTTTGTACCTGATTCCCAAAGGGGCTGCCCTTCCACTTGCCCGGCATTACTTGAAAGAGCCCAATTGGTGTGCCAGTCCCAGACCTCTTTCAGAAAAGGCTCGGAGATGGGGATCAGGGAAAGAGAGGGCTTTTCCACAGGACGGGTCTCTGGGTGTTGGTAGGGGCCAGTGGGTGCAAAGATGTTGTGATCGGTCCTCCGCAGGTGGATGGGGGAACTGTTCCGGGGAGAAGCTCCTGGGAAGGAGTTGGCTTGGGTAAGATCTAGTGGAAAGGAAAGGATTTCTTGGCGTTTCAAGTCTCCTCCTACTCTAGTTTTTTTTTTTGGGGGGGGGGTGCTAGAAGGAAAATCCAGGACTTATAACTGTGCATTATAGACAATTCTCGCAAAATCAAGAAAAGAGGCAGTTGCTGTGTACAGAAAGCGGAGGTCCGCCCGCGCAGCCAGGTGCACCCAGGGCCGGCACCTACCTGCTGGCCGCCGCCGGAGTAGGGCTCGGCGTGCGCAGGAGAGCCGCTGCTGCCCCGGGACGAGGTGTCAAAGTTCCCGGGATAATCCTGGTACATGATCCGCGGTGGGAGCCCGAGAGGAAACAGGGTGTTTTTCGTCCCCCGCCCTCGTCGCGGCGGCGCACAGGCTGCTGCGCGCTCCACCGCCCTCGCCGCGGGTCTAGCCTGGCCGCTCGCTCGGGCTCCTCGCCCGGGTCCTGGCGCCGAGGGGGA